GAATTTTTACCGGGTTTTGAAATCCATCCTTTTTTTTTTTTTTTTTTTCTTTTATTTGTTGGGGCAGAATAAGGAGAAATGCTTCTGTAGAAAAATGTTTTCAAATTCACAGCTGCAATAATTTATTATTGGTGCTCACTAGAGAAGTATGAGATAGGACTGACTTAGTGACAAATAATTTAGGTTATTGACTAAATATCAGAATACCTTATCCTACATTTAAAAAATATCAACTCTATAACTCAGTATCATCTAACATTTTGAAACCTTTGCTTCATCTTTTCTTAGCTTCTGGCATCGTTTATCTAAATTAAGAAATTGGTTAAAAGGGGAAGTTTGAGTTGGGTTGGCAAGCTCCTGGGAAGAAGAATTTATTGCAGTTTCCAGTAGAATTTCCTGGTTTATTGTGATAGAACTAAATTCCCACACTTCAAAGTGCAATGCCAAAGGTGCTACTTTTGCCAAATACAATTGCTGATTTTAACTAAAAAACAATTATTACAGATTAAAAAACTGGAACATTTTGTGTGTCTCTGTGCAGCCAAAGTTACATGTGCTCTAATGCATTTTAGACTGCTGACTTTCATCTCCTTATCCTGTCTATCTGAAGGGTTGTATTCCTCTTTTGGGATTTGTCCAATGTGTATATTTTCTTTAATTGGGTCCCAATTCAAAACCATTTTTATTAATCATCTTCATTTAAATAATACACCAATTTTTTTTTTACTAGTGCAAGTTAATTGATTTCTTACTTTTCATAACATCAATGCCTCACATACAAATGGCAAATCCCTGTAGCACTCTTGGTTATTTTTGCTTTTGGTATTATTTTTTTCCTATTTCTTCAAGACACTATAATTAATCATTTTGTTAAAAATGCTTTTTAAGAGATGTTAACATGAAACTTTCTTCTAAGTGGTCACAGCCATTTTGTGGTAACACTGGCCTGAAGAATCAGTCATTGATGGTCACCAGGAGCGTGCCCTTCCTGCATCATTCTGATTCAGCTTTTCACCTTTTGCAGTCATTCTCTTCTGTCTCTGATCCAGTCTGTTGGTTAGATGATGTTGAAATCAACTTCCAAATGAAGTCAAAACCAGCGTACAAAAGCAATCCTGTTTTGTGTCCGTTTCTCTGCATGCTCCTTGCAGCTTTCTGTGGGAGCTCTTCTTCCGTGGCAGCCTGTCGGTTACGCCGGGACATCTCATCCATCTTCAAGCAGTTCCCATTGGGCTTGGATAACTCAGACACAAGACTCTCAAGATTCTCATTGCCTAGTAATTCACAGAGGTCTTAGCAAATGTGTTATTCCAGCTGAAGAAATTTCTAAGACTTCCATCTAATATGGAAAAAACTCAAACCCTGCTGGGTGCACAGATTTTGGGGCTTTTCACCTCAGAACCCAGTTCTGCTTTCTGAGAGAGGTTAGCAAGTTTATGCTGGAATAGGCACCCCAGAGTGAGTCCCAATCTTTCCTCTGAACCTCTGGAAAGAGAACAGGCAAGACTGCTCAATACTTTTATAACACAACACAGCAAGATGGGAAGAGGGAGAGAAAAGGTGCAAAATGCAGTAGTCTTTCAGATACTGGCCACAACCATGATCACTAAACAACTATGTACATCTGTAAAACAACAGGCTCTCAGGCACAGTCAGTGCCTGCACCAGTACCTTCTTGTGGGGTGGGGGAGCAAAAATCACCCCTGCAGGTCTTTTTCCATCTCAGTCAGATGTAATTAAAGAAACATACTGTCTTCAGATAATCTTGGCATCTACACGGTCATGCTATATCTTGAAATGTGAAAAAAATAATACAGCAGTGGCAAAACATAAGCCAAATTCATACAGTGTTTAGCAAAATGTAGTACTCCCCTATTACTGTGTCTCCTACATGAACTTGAGCTTGTGGTGGTGAAATTGGCATCTCAGTTCCGTTTGCCTTGGTTGCTTTCTCCATTAATCAGGTTCTCTTGCTGCTCAGCCAAGGCTTGCCATTTCTGCCTGTTTTTTCTGCAGCCATCCAGCAAAGGGGAGCAGGCCTCTGACACGTGTGTTAGGGCCTGAAATAAATTGAGAACATGGAAAACAGATTGCATTCAATTTTTAATTTAAGAATGGAGAATGAAACATGTCTCTCGTTTTTTCAGATTTCTCAACTCAGGGGAAGACTTGTAGATCACTAACTGCACTGGATACCTAACACAAGATCTGTGTACAATTTGGATTGGAATCACTTGGTAAGTGTATATTAGTACATATTTCAGGGTAAATAATTCCAGCTTTTCTAGTTGCTTCATAAATGGAAAGGTAAAACTCTCCCCTAGCAGGAAGAAGTATAGATGTTCAGGCTCTAGAACTGTGGGCATTCAAGCCTGCTCAGGTGTTCTGTTAAAGAGTTTTCTGTTTGTCCAAACTGTGCCTTTCTCCTACTGTAGAAAGTTTTCTGAGGCTTCAAAGCAAAGGCTGCCTTATTTTCCTGCCAGTTTCCACAGCACAGAAACACTTGATTTTCACAGACAGCAGGTAGTAGCTCCCTTTCTTTATGCCTGTTTCCTTTGAACTGGTGAAAGGGCATTCTTTTTAGAAAAGTTTATTGTGTCAGAGGGAAAAATTCAAGTAGTCATGCTGTTCCTTACACTGGAAAGTTCTTAAGAATTCGATTATCTGTTAATCTCCTTTCTTTCTCTCACCTTGGTTTCTGTAAAATACTTGCTACAATTCAAACAAACAGACTTTCACTCTAATGTTGTACTGGTTGAAAAAAAACAACCCAGAAATCATTATGTTGTGCTTCACACTATATTTGACCAAGCAGTTTCTCATACAGTTTGTAGCCAAGATAAAAAAAGCATTTCAGTGAATTATCTCATGCAATGCTTTGGTGGGTGATGAAAGAGAAGAAAAAGAATGGGATTGGAAGTGTCAGGTCAATTTCCAATACATAGCATATCACCTTTTGTATGACAAATTCTGAATTCTTTAAAACTTCTAAACATTTTCCATCAATGCACTACCTGGATACCATTCTTTCCCTAGAGGTCAAAGCATTAGTTTTGTGACTTGCCCTGATAATCCAGCATATAACACCAATTGCACAGAGGACAGCATTTTAACAAGGTTTAAAAAAACTGTGAAAAACTGTGAAAAAATACATTAATCAGACAAATACATAACTAATTATAAATACTAAAATAATAATTTCTTCAATTAATAATTATTGAGTTATGAATAATTTCTACATATGAACCACATGTAATATAAAATAAAAAATATTTTCTAACTAAGGGGCTAGTTTTTAATTTGATTTTTATTCCAATTGTAAATCTGTGTCTACCAGTGAACAGCTCTGGTTTCAGAGACTTGCTGTTCTTCCTTAGGCACCATACCTCATACAGCTGCAAACAAACAGCATCTATGAATCCAACCTGCATGCTGGGAATTTTGTTTTTCTTCTCTCTGTTCATTAGATCCTGCAAATAATAAGTAAACAAGCTCTGTGTTTAAATGCATTAAATAAAAACCAAAAGCAAAGAGAATCTGGAATTAAAAAGCAGCACCTTAAACAGCACAGCAAGCTGAGCACAGCGGGGGAACATTACAGGTGTTACAATGAAGAGAATTTGACTGCATGACTTCCCTCTGGAGATTGGCTTTGGGTTGACAGAGCCCAAATAGCCAGGCAAACTTACTGGGTTTGGATAGCTGCAAATAGGTACCAATTTAGGAATGTATTTCAGAGCCAGTTTAGTGACACTGATTTAGAGGAAATAATACTGCCTGTTCTTCTGGTTCACAGACAATGACACATTATTGGTGTTCTGGAACCACAGAACAAAACTGACTACTAGGAAGTCAGGGAAGGAGCTGGTCCTCTGTTGGGGTCAATGGGAGAAATTTTAGGTGCCATTTCCAAAAGACATTTTGCAAGAGGTGATTCTGCACTTACCGTGGGTTCTATGTTGAGTTCCTTCCGCTCTTTATCTCCTTGATCAAAGAACTCAGTAGCTACAAGCTCAGCAATCTGTAAGAGATTTCACTCATTGAGAGCTCTAAAAGTTTCCTTGCTACCTTTAAACAAGAGTGGTTCCTACCTCTCTCTCCTTAGAATTTATCATATTAGCCCCTCCAGACATTCTGAGACTCCAGCTCAGCATTCCACCACTGCCTTTGCAGTAAGAACTGGCTGGAGGAAATGAACTTTAATGCAGTTTGCATTTAGGATATCTTAAAAGTCAAGCACATACCCGTTGCTGAACAGGCCATGGTTTGGTTATGGCTGATAAGTCACAAGCAGTCATCAGCATTGCTCTGCAGAACAAACAGAAAGAAAGTGATAAATTAATCTATGTGAAATGTATGTTGTCACCAAGATGAGGACTAGTAAAATAGAATATAGAATTTCAAGGAACATTAAGTCAGAAAAACAAGTGAAATTAATGAAAGTTCTAAATGTAACTCCTTCACATGCTATTTAACAAAGTTTCTTATACAGAAAAGGTTGTACACTTAGTATTTCAGACCCAGGGACTTCAGTGACCTATGTGACAGGGCCAGCTTGTACAGACCAAGAGCACAAAGACCTGCTGGGTTTAATGAAGTTCACAGCAGCACAGCGTAGGAAATTGGGTACCCAGTAATATTAACTGACTTCTTGATTCACCTGCTTTTACTTACAAAAATAGCTCCTTTTGTGAGGGATCTTCCCAATTAAACTGCTTCTTCCTTAAAAGTTCGAAAAATTCCCCTCTCCTCCTTTAAAAGAAGTTAAAAGATTTAGCAGGATGCTGACATGATGCTAATATCCAGCAGTGATTATCCAGCCAAAGCTTCCTCTGACTTACTTGATGTATAGTGCCAGGTCTGTGGCAAGAATGGCTTGTTTTATCATTTTCAGTGTAGCCTTGTATTCTTCAATGGAAAGGCTGCTGAGAATCTGATTTCCCTTTACAAAAAAAGCCAAAAACAGTGCTATCAGTAAAATGGGCAGCAGCACACCAGTTTGCTAAGGCGTCTCTAAGTTTCATTACGAGTCACTTGCTGATTTCTGAGGTCATTCTTTTGCCCTCCTTCCTCTTGGAGATTCCCTAGTTTAAAAATAAAAATTCCAGTCTTCTTGAGCAATGGCAGAAAGCCACACAGTAGCGACATCATCACTGACTATTACAAAATGAAACTGCAAGCAGAGCAACATCAAAGCCTTCAAGTCCATTTCATTCATTAAAATTAAATTTGTCACTGGCTGTATCACAGCTTCTCCTTCCTCTTCCTTCCCCTCCCCTGAAGCAGAGGAATTATAACAGATTCCCATACCTGCCAATGCACCTCTAGTAAATTAAATTATTTTCCTTTTATGAAGCAGCATAAATAACAAGTTTTTAAATAGAAATATGAGCTCAGCAGCCCTGTGTTAAACCAAAGCACTGCAGAGCTTGTGAAGAGGAACTCACCTCCATTGTTTTTCCCTATTTACCTATCTGAATAGCAAAGGCTCACTGCAATACAAAGAATGCCAGAAGTACCTCAACCTGTGGCACAAAAGGAGCAGTCCTTTGAAAGAATCATGAATGCTAAATAACAGGTCTTGAGAATTAGTTAATAGCATCAAAGAAGAGGAATGTAGTTTTATTTGCATATTTACTAAACTTAGGTTTGGCTTCACTTTGGAATGTCAGCAGTGTTTGGTTTGGTCTCATCAGGGCTGCTTTGTATAAGTGTAGGCTGGAATGTTTTTTTGAAAGGAGAGGAAGGACTGGGGTTTGTTTGGTGGCTCCTAAGAGGTCATGAAAATGGCAGCAAAGCCTTTTGTTTCCTTTGGTCCAAGGAAGCAGGTACTCAGAAGGATGTTAGCAAGGCTTCCCTTATCAGGCAGCACTTGGAAGGCTTTGGTGGCACTCAGCAACAAAACTGTGATTTCCATGTTGCTGCCTTTGCTTTCTTTACCCAAAAAGGAATAAAGAGCACTTAAGAACATGTAAGGGTGGGATTCTATCCAGAGCCTAAAAATAGAAAGTAGAATAGTTTCCTTCAGCATACACAGGAATGTGGCACTCACTGGACTATTCAGGATCATAAGGCATTGATCAAAATGATGATGCTCCATGATTGAGTGGCAATACAGCTGAGCCAGTGGATGTTCACTTCTGAAGAGGAAAGAGATGGAGAAAACAAATTAGACAAACATATTAATCATCCAGAAATAACTTCCCTTTTAACATCCTCTTTGTAAAAATACAGATAAGAAGGTAATGTTGCTGCTTTGTCAGAGCACTGACAGCTCTGGTTTTCTGCCTTCTCTACCTGTAGAGACCAGCTACATGCAAGGAGTGAGAATGTAATACTAAGTTTCAAAAGGAGTGAAAGTTCCTTTATAGGAAGCAAAGGTGACACAGAGAGTTCATTCACAAGCACAATTTAGGAGACATGGCCTTAAACACCTGCCTGGAATATTTAGTCAGCTCAGCTGCTCAGCTTGTAAGTGATAATGCAAACCTAATAGGAAACCCACTGATACCAATGGAAAAATTCCTGCTGACCTCTGCAATGTGGTGCTGGGCCCAAAATGTTGATCAAGTAATTTCCTACTGTTAGTAACTGTAATGGTGTTTCATCATCATTCATTGTTACCTACCCTTTGCTCAGGGTAAAATCCAAAAAGGAAACTGCTTAGAGGCCAACAGTGACATTGATTCTACTACAGACAGTGAAAAATAGCAGGAAATCAATTCTAGGCACAGAACATAAAAATACCTTAATGCAAAACTTAAACATATCTTAGTCTAGAAAATAGGATTTATTGTTTGAATTGCTTTAGTCAAAGCTCCCTCACAGAAGCTCCTCCTCTCTTGAGGATTTTCAATTTCTCCCTGTTTTTTGCTGCTCTGTCTTTATTTTCAACCCCTGGTCCCACATCACTCATGTCATCTCTTCAACTAAATCTGGATTCTTCTGGAAATCTATTTTGCTGATGATCCTGGACCTATTACTCTAATTATAATCTGACCTACAAATGTTTCATCATGTAAGTACCTCTTTTTAACATATAATTCCATGAGATTTTCCACATGGTTAAGGACCATTCACGTGGCTTAGCGGCTGCAGGATTGGGTCCCTGTGTGAGTGAGTGCACACAGGCTGAAATAAAAGTCATAAGAGAAGACTCTGGGGATTTAGGAAGCACAAAAATGTGGAGAGAAAGATGGAAAAACAAACAAAAACACAGAAAGGGAGATTAAAGGATGCAAGCCCCTGAGGAATATGGGCTGGCTGCCCAGCACCTCCTCTGAGACCACCACAGAAGGGGCGTAGAGCAAATGTACTCGTGTGTTTCTGTAAGGAAACAAACCACAGGATGGTGCCAACACATGCTGGGTGAAATTCCCATTGAATTAAGTGGAATGCATATTGTGTCTCCCAGAGTTCATCCTGACTGGAGAGAGAAATATGTGAGAAATCTCTTAGGCTATCTTCCCAAGTACTGCTCCAAACTAGAGCTTGCTTGGTTCTCGCAGATCCTGGCTAGGGCTGGAAATAAATTCAGGTCCAGATTCTGTAGTGGCACTTGTGTCAAACCCCCACTCCAGGCCAAAGGGCACCGTGGCTTTCTGAGCACAGGGGTTTGGTTATGCAGCTTTCTGTGCTTCCTACTTTGCATGTGGGATTGGAGCAAAAAGAAAATAATCCCCCCCCTGCATAATTACCAAAAGGCCTTCAAGCAGTTCCCCTTCTGTAACTTCTACTGCCAGGACCATTTCAATTTTTGAAACCCTGCTGCTTAAGAAAAAGAATCATACACTGAATATCCACTTTCCCTGCTTCAAAGGAAAAAACAAAAGGGATTTGTTCCTAGAAATAAAAACTTTTGTATTTAGGTTTAAAAAAAAAAATTGTGGAACTTTCTGTTGAGAAAGGAATTACTAAGCTATAGCCGTCTCAGCTTTACAGCATGTGTAAATGTTAGATTTTGCTGTCTATGACACTTTCCCAGGACATTTTTGAGAGGAGATGACGCATCTCCAGATGTCTTCCAGGAAATTTATTTTTAAATAAATAAAGCAAAAATAGCTAACTAGTTCAAATCACTGCGAGGCTACAGTTACTGCTGGAATCCTCTATTACCAAACTAGAAAAAGGTCACTCTTCTAATGTTGTGGAGTTTGGTTTTTCTTTTCTTTACACATCAGTTAGTGCTACCCCAAACATATAATTGTGAAATGCATGAGTTCTGCTTCAGCTTACTTATTTTCTGTCTTTCAGTATTCTGTACTTTAAACAAGCTTTTCCTCCCCTACCATCTTACTTTACACACAGTGAGAACAGCAGACCACTTCTTCATAGGTCACTTCAAAACCATCCTCCAGCTCTGCCAGAAGAAGATACAAGCACACATTTCTGGCTCCCTTTTGCCCATCTCTGATCACACCAGGACACACTGCCACATCACAGGAATCACATTAAGCCAGGCTTTAAAGTAACTGAAGACTCGTGTGCTGTTATTTGAAGTGACACCAAATTGGGCAGATTTGAAGCTACTAGTAAATTCTAAAAAAACCCAGTATCTTCAGTTCAAAATTAAAATATGGGGAAAAATTTAGACTTGTTCAGATATTTCATTTTGATAATTTGAAACCAAAATATTTTGTTTAGTAAAAATATTTTTTCAATATTTTAAATATACTTTGCCTTTTTGTATTGTAAAGGCCTTTCTGTAATTCTAGATTGGATCAAAGTTAAAAAGTACAGGTAACCCACAATCAGTGCAGAACAGCCATACATTTTAAATGCGATTTTAACCATGTAGCTTATTCTAAACAACTTAGAATTCTCGAAAAATGTGCCTAAACCCAGAGTAAAACAATCTGAGTTCAAAACAGTGGGGAGACACCTTTGTATCAGAGGGCTGCAGATCTCGGTACTGTGTTGGCCTGAACAAGAAGGGAACAGCTGGGTTGGGCAGGGAGTGTTCTGAAAAGCTGCATGTTTCCTACACGCTGTCCTTTGGAAGCTGAGGCCTTTTGCTGGCACTTTGTGGGAAATGGGGGAGGAGAGCTGGGGAATGGGAGCAGGAAAACGCTGTCCCTGCACAGCAAAGGGTTCACTTCATCTGCCATCATAGTTAGGCAGCAGCTGAGGCTGTGCATCTTTGGACTTGTGAATGGTTCTGCCTGTTCCTGCATTTTCTGCTCTGTGAAAAGCTGCTCCTTTGCACAGCCCCACATCATTAAAGCAGTCAGTTTGTACCTAATTTAGCTCTGTACTTGTTCACTCACTTGTTTTTATTTAACTTCTCTCAGAGCCGCTTACCTTTGTATGTAAGAGTTGTTCACTCCCCTGTGATCCAGATCGTGGCTCAGAGTTGCTATCAGCAAAGCCAGCGTTTCTAAGTCAGTCAGTTTGCTCTGTATGTGAAGAATAATGCCAAAAGTGACTTGGGGGTTTATTTAGTGGAATTTGTTTTATATCTCAGACCTGTTCTTAGTGCAGTCAAAAGACTGTTTGGCAATGATAGATTTTATGTTTCTGCTAGGAAGATGCATCTCCCAATGCTTGCCTTTCCCCTCAAAGTAGAAAAAAATTGAGTTATGTTCAACACTGTTCAGACTCCAGAATCTAGGCCAGGAGAATCAGCAGGGAATGAATCCAGTGTAGTTAAGAATAAACAATTTATGGAAATTGCAGTGGAGACTGTCAGGATTCCAAAAATAGCAGGCAAACCATCAGGATCATCAGGGATTGCTCGACCGCACACAGCAAAACTACCATGTCCATTCCAACAGGGAAGGAAGATGGATGTCCTTGCTGGTGTCTCTTCCAGCACCTTTTGAAATTTTCATTAGTGAGATAAAGTTTGTAGAGGAAGGAAATGCCTCTTCCTCATTGGTATCGGATTTTGGCCTACAAATGGGATCTATTTATGCTCTCAGAAGTGCTTGCCCTAAAGTAGTATAAACCAACTAGTAACACCAAAGTGAGCAAACACATTTATTCAGAATGAACAGAAACATTCAGTTTCCTACAAGAATATAAAACAAAAACCTAAAAACATGTTTTGGAAGAATCTAGAATCAGTATCTCACTTATTTAGATGACCATCTAGCCCTAATCAGAATGATCAGGTTGTTTTTAAAATTATTAGGAGTCTTTTTAAGTGAAAAGTTGAAAATTTGTTCAAAAGCATTGGAATGAACATTTGTTTATTTCTATGTTTTTATGTTCTGTTGTTTATCTAAAGCTGTACTCAGCTTTGCATTTGAACTTAAAAAAATTCCTGCTGAAAATTTTAAGGAAACATTCTGAAAATGGGTCAGCCTTTTCTTCTCCACTTTTCTGACTTGCTTGTAGCATAAGCATTAACTTTAAAAAAAGGACATAACCACGTACATGCCTTATTTGAGATATTCCCATTGGGAACATCCCGATCACCACTTCCAGAGGATTTAACTGAAACAGGGAACAAAAAAACCGCGGCTGCAGTTTCACGAACCAAGCCCTCATAGCCCAAAGTCCTCAGCAGACAATTCCACTGGCAATACCATGGAATAATGAACATCTTACTGACATGACAATCAGAACTGGTGCATCATTAGAGAATTTGTCTTAATAGAGGAACTGGAAATGTACCTGAATTTTCCCAGATTTCAGAGCAGCAAACATGCACTGTGCTGTGTTAAAGGCGTGTCTCCAATTGTGATAAGCAACATTCTTCCGATAGTTTTTCTTCACACTTAAAATCCATCTGCAGAGAACCTTTAAGAAACAGCATCACATAGATTTGTTTTCATAAGAACAGATTTCTAATACATTCAAACTTTCTTAATCCCCTGCTTGCAAGCTCTCTTACTGAAAAAAAAAAATTCATTTAACTCAATTTTAAGTTCAAATATAACACCCTTGTAATTGTGAACACAGATAAGAACAGGCTTACACCCACTAGTACAGCTCCTAATTGAGTGTGTAATACTTGTGGCTTTGGGGCTTTATTACCAATGGCTGAATGTTCATATTAGAAGCACTGTTGTTAACTCAGAAACTGAGGTTTGTTGAGATACCTGTGAGAAAAAAAATCTTTGTTTATAAAGACATATTTGATAGAGAAAATTTATTTAGTTATTTAATCGTCTTAAGAGCTGTTCTGAAAATGAACATGCAGCTTTTCCCTCCTATCAGCTTGTCGAATCCCAAGCAGAATTGGACTTTGGAAAGCAAGTAAGTATGATAGAAGGATTACTACATTGCAGGGTAGTTTCTTTTTCTGTGCAGGAGGAAAGCGTGTCCTGGATGTTTTACTCAACAGTATTAAAATTTAGGGTTATAATTTTTATACATATATGTGTACATTTCTTTTCCTTACCTGTTTTATTTTTTTTTTTGTAAGGAAGTGACAGATACGAAGTTCAGGTAGTAATTTAATGTTGGGACATGTTTGTAAAGGTTCTTGACCTTACTACAGAGGTGAAGCTAAGTACGAGGATATTCTAGAGATCAGATTAGGTAATAGAGCACTTTTGGCCCTTGAACACTACTAATCTAAATTGGTCTATAAACTGCTGATCTAGAAAATAAATACATGTTTTCTTTAACTAATGTGTTTGCCTATGAAGCCCTACAAATTCTGCATTTTGATAGAAATTTTGAATGTTTTGTTGAAAAGGTTGTAAAGCAAAAATAAGGTATTTAAAAATGAAGGTTTCTACAAATAGATGTTGTTTGCACTGAGTGGAAGAAGCTGGAGAGATTTTCTGTTTTACCTGTCTTGATCACCTCGGACAGATGAGGGAAATACCCAGAGCCCATCCAAGTTTATCTGCTTCAGTCTTTACTATCTCCATAACCATGAACTTCCACCTAATCTTTAATCTATTATTTTGTAGGAAAAGAATAAGATAATTACTATCTCATATGGACGTAGTGAACAGTGCTATTATCCTCTTAGTAAGAGTTTTTCACTTCCTGAGAAGTTGCTATCCTCTCCCTTCTCAGTATTCTGTTTTCCAGTCCATTAATCATAGACTTAAATAGATTAAAATTAATAGATTAAATTATTAAAATTATTAATCCTCCAGTAAAACCCAACTGAGGACAGACCCCAATTCTTCATATACCTTCCTAGTTTGTTAATTACTCTTTAATACAGATGTCCAGTTCTATTTGCTGTGGGATCATTTCACTACTCTGAATTCCTAATAATTAAGCTCTTTCTGTGGGGCAGTACTTGGCAGCAATCATACCTCGTGTTTCATTTGGAAATTTTGCACCAGGTTGAGGTCTGTGAACATTCGAATTGTGCACAGCGTTGTTTCAAAGTCTGACAGCTCAAAGTCACTGAAGTAGAAGTCAGTCAGGTTGAGAGTTTGTGCAGATGGCACTACAGCAGCCTGGAGAAGAATGGGAGAACACAGCTTAGCTTTTTAGAGAAAACAGAACAAATACTTGCTTTTTCAACAGACTAATTAAAAAAGAGACACTAAATCGTACCTTCAAGTGATACTGAAAACTGATGATTGCTTCTCATTTACTTCCCCATGCTTCTCTTATTTAACATTGCTTTATTACCTTAGGTTTAACAAGCACTTTTCCATAGATCAAGGGAATAAGGATGGAATTACCTGGTCAGTCTGGTTATCTAAATCACCTGAGGCAAATTGTAACCAAAAGTATTGATGAAATTGGGAGAATGAGAAAATAAGGCAGTGGAATTATATGTTTGTTTTTATGGGCGTGCAGGCTGTAACTGTTGGCATTTTTCTAAAAATGGTGAGGAAAGAGATGTCAGTAAAACAGATTTGCTAACAGAATCCACATTCAGCATGATGGGAGTCAGAACATGTCCACAGGCAGAGTTTTCTCAGGGCTAGAAACCTGAAAAATTAGAGTTCATCTGTGATCAATAATTTTTAAAACCCATGGTCCATGGTTTGGGTGCAGTTTGCATGCATCCATAAACCTTCAATGTGAAATTTGAGATTACAAGGTAAACAACACACCTCCCCATCCTATGCTTTTAAATCTGAGTTTTTAATTGTCAGTAATATCTCCATGTATTGCATCCCTTTTCTAGGTATAAAATAGGGAATATTTCTGTCCTTCAAAATACCTGTGTTGAGGTTATGCTAAATCTTATATTAACTCTCATACTAACAAAATAAATACTAAGTCTTATACTATAGAACAAAATTTAGTATCATTTTCTGCAGCAGAATAAAAGCTGGGGTTCTCAGTGCTGATGCTTTAGAACTGTTTCACCTCAATATGAGTGTGGTTCAAAGAAAATCAGGTAAATCTGAAATGGTAAAGGAGATAAATCTTTGTGTTTATCTTCCTCTTGGTAATTATAAGGGAAAACATTTCTCCAGTGTGGGCAGCTGTGTCCCAGAAGGCTGAGGAACAGGAAAGGAACCATTTGTCAAGATCTACAATATTAGTACCTGAAACATGCAAATCCTTAGAATTATGGCTGCCAGCCTCTGTTCCGTATCAGTTCACTGTCCTCTCCCTTGTGTGTCAGAATCAGGAAGTCACAGGAGGTTATGAAAAAGGGTATTGACACAGGGAAAAAAATGCACCATTCTTACACACTTCTTGTGCCAGTAATTTTGTGTCCCTGTTTGGATTCATGTGGGATTTCAGCTGTGAGCACGTGAAAGGCCTGCATGTTCAGTGGTAAATAATGCAACCGTTCAGCAAAGCTACTGACATATTTTTGAAAAACCTCAACTGCAGGCTGGTATTTCACAAGGAAAGGTGCTGGAAGGAGACAGAAGGAGCTCAAAAGAACACCTCATACCTCACTTCATTCATAATTTATCTTTCCCTTCCTTATCTCCTGCCTTTTACAGCCACAACAGTAAGTTTAATTTCAGCTGAAGCATAAAACCCCTGCACTCTATAGCAGTTTATAGTGTTGTTTAACCAGATTAGCTATTTCCTTTTTCACTTACTGAAGCCACTAGAGCCTCTGCCTCCTGTTTTACAGCACAAAAGTTCATCAGCTATTTTAATTTCAATTTATTGAGCCATGGTTTCTGTAAATACACTGGCCACAAAAAGGCTGCTATGGAAAACGTTGGGACCACTGTGTGGCAACTAGAAAGACTTTTGTTTTGTTTCATCTGCTTTGGATGATAAAATACAGCTTGCAGACAGTACTAGGCTCAAAGGAGGTAACTGATGCAATAGGACAGTTCTGTAGTGTTTGGAAATGATTATTAAAGTAAAACATTTGACTGCATCCAATGCCATAAGGCAGATAATTAATAGAATAGAATAGTGTCAGTTGGCAGAGCCCTACAACCATCTTCTAGTCCAACTGCCTGATAATTACCTATTTTCAGATTATTTAGAAGCAAAAGGTATATCCAGAAAAAAATTCAAACTATTTTGGCTGTCTTTACACAACAATATGAGTGCAAAAAATAAAAACTAAAATAAAAATTCCATGTGTGCAAATAAAAAGGCCTGTTCTTGTGCTCTGGTATCACCTCAGACAGCAGTGGCTGACAGGCCAGGACTGTGCTAGGAAGCTGTGGACAGTTAAGCCATGCAGGTGGACACTGGCCCAGTTCTAGGTTTGATGTGGCTCTGTTTCATTGACCAGTAACGGTGTAACCACAAAGATTTCACCACAAGCCCTGAAGAGAAACTTCAAGAGAGGAGCTGCACTCTGGTCTTGTCATGGCTCTTTATTGATGAGCAGCAGTGTGGTAGGACTGAAGTTCAAAAATCTCTGTGACACCGTTCTGGAAATATCCTTAGTCTCATTCCTTGTTATGTCATGCTACCCAGCTCAGGTCCCCTATGCCTTCCTTCCTCTCCATCCCTCCCTTTTGTTTTCATGCAGCAGGCGTGATGCCACTTCTCTGGAACAGCTGCTGAAGGCTTGGATAAACTAAGCACATGCTGTGCTTTGAAATGCACTTGAAATCCTAGCTGTAGTTATTCCTTAGGCAGTGGCTTCTAAACACAGAATTAAACATGAGTGGAACAGGATGCTGCTCAGAAAAGCAATCATAAATTATTTTTTAAAAAATCATTGCATTAAAAATTCGATACAGAATTTATACATAAGGCCATAACCTTGCACCCAACACGTGGGATGTTAGAAAGGTACCAAAGCTGTAAGATATACAGCATTCAGACTTAGCTGCAGGATGGAGAGTTCTCAACATCCTGCTTCTGGAATACTTCATCATTATAAGTTTGATACTGACATTGCACCAGCTGTGACTGTCTCAAACTCCTGAGAAAAATCAGCCAGCACAGGTTTGGTTCTCTCAGTGCTCTGGCCAGCTTTTCTCTCTCACTGTAGACATTGTAATAGTTCACTTTTATGTGATTCAGCTCAGGAACCTGTCAGCATAAGCTTCACTGTCATTTTTATTTCTAGAACATATGCTTCTGCCCCTTTAGGGATCTCATCTGTGTACAGGACTGCTCTTGGTTGTTCTATTGAAGCAATATTTCTAAAGTAATAGTAAAAAATTTAATTACCACTGTTACCTGCAGCTCCCTCGTTTCCTCCTCAGCAGCAGAAGCGTGGTAAGAGAGAACCTACAGGAAGGAAAAAGCAGCCCTTAGTACCAACAAAAGAGCAATGTGATAACAAGGTACTTTTCCTACAGCAGATCTTTCAGCGTTCCACTGCATTTGCTGATGAAATTTTCTGTCCATGCAGAGCCTGAGCCAGTTTTAGGGGAGCTCTCTGAATGCATATCTGCATTCAGAGATATGGGGAGAAATCTGCATCTTTTACACATCTCCCACAGCACAGAATCTTCACGAGATAATTAGGCCAAGAAAACATAAATAGCTTCTAAAAAGAGCAAAGAACTCTGATTTTCTCTTTGGAAAGTTTTCATGGCCCACTTTCAAATACAAATAATACACAAAACAGCTCTTATTATGAGCCTGACATTATTGCCATAGTAACTCCTTTGAGAGTTTATTCAGACATGAAAGCAAGTTTTACCCTAACTGAGACTTGGCACAAAAGTCTGAAAGACAATATATTAATTTTAAATTAAAAAAATAAGCTCAGATTTTTAACTATTGAGAACATATGACATGAAAAAGTTACAGAGTTTTATTTTTTTTGTAACAAACCCATTTTATATGCTAACCTATAATCTGGCTGGAACTTCCTATATTATCTATGAAGTGTTATACTAAGAGACAGAATTGCTAATTTGCCATAAAAGCAAATGATTTTGACAATAGTTTTACCAGCTTTTTATTTACCATGACCTAATAAAGGTTTATTTGGGAATGGTAATGTTTCTTTTAGAGGCCACAGGGCATATAATCCCATTTTAGGAGCTCTGCAAACACTCTGTTTACATAATGAATGTTAGGAGATCCAAAGTCTACATATTTTTCACTTTCTGCTTCAAGTTATCACCCCTGAGTAATTCAGCTTCTCAGACTAAAGCTGTGAAGGCTTAACAGGAGCCAGTTCAAAGGCTGGGAGCAGGTGATGTTCATCATGGTATGGTTTCATGGAGTCTGTGGAAATTGCTGCTAACCTACAATAATGCTGCTGTTACTCCTCACACTGGTTTGTCTGAAGGACTGAGCCAAAATCATCACAAAAACCCTCAGACAAGGAGAGGAAGCCCCTTAATCTGCCAAACCATTTCCCTCTTCCTACGCAACAGAACGCACCCACTGTGCTGCCAGCTTGCAGCCTCGTGGAGAGGAAGAGATGCCTCCAGCTCCCCACTAAATCTCAGAAGTGAAGTTAGGACACAATTCCCAATTAAATAGTCTGCTGGCAGAGTCAGAAACAAGCAGAAAATTCCTGAGCAGCTCAACAGCCTAAATGCTGCTCTCCTGAGGGATATCTCCTAAGTAGCTGCACTTAAGTGCAGAACAAAGAGAGTCTGGGGAGCATAAGGACCTGTTTGGGGCTAATTAAAGACCACCTAGATTTGGGCTCACCTCTAATGTCACCATCTGTTTGGCCATGGCTCTTTCTACAGCCTCGTACATCTGTGTGTTCTGGATCCCCAGGCCACAAAAGATGACAAATGCTTCCAGGAACTCTTCATCATTTCTGTTGAAAGCCTTGATTTTTCCTGAGTTTTCTTCCATCTTATTCACAATCTGGCAAACCCCTATGCCAGGACACAGAAATGAAAGGAAGTATTACAGAGAGCATGTCACCATCAGGAATTAAGTTTAGGACAGATTAGCCTACAGTATAAACCACCAACATACATAAGTGACACATAGGAATGCTGTAGGATTTTCCTTTTTTTTTTTTTTTCCCAAGGATAATTCCAATGTATCATAAATATTCAAATATTATATGTATACATATATATATAGTAAATTCACATTTATTAGGATTTGTAAACCAAAAATGTAGGGCTTTATAGACTTGATCATCCTGTGAAATTCTAGGGTCGTTTTCATCCTAACTTTTATTATTAATAGTATTCTAGATTGATTTAATCCCTAAAGACAATTTGTCCTTTGGATGCTAATTAAATTTTTGCAACCATGCCAAAAGAACATTTATGAAAGTCAGAAGAGTGGTACACAGTTTTTGCTTCCTCTTTTGAGCCAGTACTAGGATTTTTTTCAAGTAAATGAACTAAACAGGGAATACCCAAGTTAAGGTTCAAAGCTGAAGTACACTCACTCATTTTCTGAGGATGTGGTTGAATTGCAGCCCCTTCCAAATACTACCCAACTCCTTGAGAAGCATCTGACTGAATTCAGCTTCTTAGGTTCAAACTTGCTGATAATTGCATTTGTTAATTTTCTGTTAAGAATTTCTGGACTTTTCTGTGCACATGTCATTGAAGAAGTCTGACAGGTAACTTCTGCCACACCTTGCTGCAGTTTAAATCCCTGACACCACTGTGAGCAGGAGGAAATTCAGAAATACACCTCCCCTTAGTTTTACCTGCTAAGCAACCAGAATATTAATTAGAGCAGCTGTATTATAGGAATATGTTGTCTTTGGCCAAAACTGCTTTGAGGTTGAGTACTGTCTTGAGGGAGTCCAAATGTTTTCTCACTCCCATGAGCACAGAAGCTGCATTTTCCTGGCCAAGTGCCAAGATATCCCAGCTGCAAATTAAAAGTTATGAAAAAAATTACCACGTGTGCATCTTCCCTATTACAGTAGATGATAAAACTGAGGAAAAGAATGCACATGCAAACTGTTGTTTTAGAAGAATTTTGGGCTCATAAGTTTTAATGTCTGGTGACAATGCAACATCGTCCTGTTTCCAAATTGTATTCTGTTTGGGGAACTTAGTATCAGAGTCTCCTCTAAAGACACCAAGACTATTACAGCTGTAATGGAGGGGATTGGGGTATCTGAATATTGCAAACAGAATTCTGAACCTTTATGGAATGAGATGGAAAGGAATGGATCATTGAATCACAGTACACAAATGTAATCCCATCAAAAAGGGTTAATTCAAGTAAGGAACAACATTAATTTCCTCAGGGGAAAAAAGAAGCTGACTTAGAAAACTCTTTAGGAAAATCCCATGAAACTGACTTTCAGATTTCTGTTTAGTACAGCTTATGACATTATAATTATTTCCATAGCAACTGTGATGCAATGAACACAAGATTCCCAACAGTGAATATGCTGCAAAAGCAAATGAATTCTTAAAAGGCATGGTATTTGCACATAAATGTCTCTTAAAAAATTAGAGAACTACAGTAAATATACTGTGTATTACTTAAGACTCTTCAACCTCTTTTAAAAACTTCCCCAAAGCTCTGAGAGGTCCACTGATTACAAATAAAGGAACTCCAAAGTCTTTCACTGGGACACAGTTATTAAAATCACATCAAGATTCTGTAAAGCTTTTACCACATACCTGTGAAATGCACAAGTCAGGAGAATAAAGTTCTTTCCATCTTTCTTGCTAGTAAGATTTGCTCAGGTTTGATGTGGACAGTTTTTCCTACCCCCATCCCACTTCCTAAATTCTGGTTTGGGGTATCCTAATCTTAAAAATAATTTAAAAAAGAAACCAGACTTATAATAATAGTCATACATGTCACGTAGTATTGTAAAGGAACTTCTGGGTACTGTCCCAAAGATAACTTATTGACCTTACTCTATTAAATAACTGAACATGAGACAGCTGTGAAACCATAAAATACTTCAAAGAGCATTTCCCAATGAGAATGACTCAGATTTGAAAAGCCCACCTAAATGGGTGGCCTGACTGAAACTTTCAGTTTGAACTTCAATAGAAAAATCTCAGTAGGAAGAAAAAAAGCAGATGCAACTGTTTCATCAATAGCTCACAGCATGGTGAAATATCTCTAATTAAAACTCCACAGTTCAGTCTTCATCTTGGCCTTCTAGGGTTTGTTGGAATATTTAAATAAAGTAATAAAAGAACTTGTGAAAGAAACTAATAGCAAAAGAAATTTGAGAGAACTGCATTAGTTAAAGATGAGGTTTCTCTTTTTGTCTCAGATGTTTAAAAACTAAATCTGTCTCCACAAAAAAGGGACATCATATTTGCTCTATAAATTGGGCCATGCAGTTTTGCCATCATTCTCAAAGAAAATTATTTTAAGACCATTAAAAAGGCATTCTTGGAACTCTTAATATTTACTTGCCAAATTTTTTAAAGCTGATGAAATTGGATCCATGCTCTTATCTAAGAATCAGTATATTTTATTTGCTCTTTGCTTGTGGGTTCCTGAAACCAGGAAACCAGCCAGAAACCAAGGCTGACACTCATTCTCTACTCTTTGGCAGCTTATTAGGTGAGCAATTTATATTCAAGATTGCAATAGACTTATTAGTTGAGAATATCACAATCTTCTCTCCTGGCTTGAGATTGCATGTTGCTGTGATTTTACTGTGGAGCACATAAATATATGTAAGAAATGTACAACATTATTTTTTTTCAAGATACCTACCTATCACTTTATTCTTTTTCCCATTTTTTATTGGTGTACACAGCAAACTCTTTATGCTCCGATTTACATTTTCTGCAGTGTCATTCTGTTAAACAAACAGAAAAAGATGGTTACAATTTTAAAGGCTGTTTTTCAGCTGGCTGAAGTGATAAACCTGTAGAACTGAGCTCCACAACTACTCTTGGTTTACATCTTCCTTCAAAAAGCAACCACGTGATCAACGAGTTTGCGCACAAACAACAGGCAGGAAAATTACTACATCTAGGTTCAGCATTCTGTACTCTTCCCAGGACTTTGCAGCATGTCCTGGGCTCCAACAGAAGGAGATTAATTTATTTGGGGAGTGGAAGGATGGAACAAAGAGATAATGCCTCCTTTTCAAACAGCTGGGGAGAAAAGGCCACAGCTCTGCTCTGACCACTCCAGGAATAATGCAGCATTTGTTGAGAAGGACATTTGCTCTGATCTCTAATTGTGTGTGACACCAAAAGAAATGGCCAAATGCTCATATTTCTGATCAAAGATTATCTTTCTTTTTTTATATTGTTGCTTTGTGCTCTGTACTGTGCAAGGACTGTACAGAGTATCTTGGCAGGATTTTCATGAGATGAATGTGCTGTTGAATGTCCTCCAAAGAAAGAGGCAAGCCAAGGTTTCTAGGGCACTGGCAACACCTGGGATTTCCCTCATGTAAGGGTGCATCAGCTTTTTAAACATTTATCCTACAGCCCTGCCTTGCCCTGCTCCTGCAGTAGTGCGAGTGCAGTCTCTGTGCTGCTGAAAAACATGATCCAGATTCCTTCTAAAACCACCATTGCTTTCTTCTTTATGGGTTTCTTTTACATACATAAGGTGAATTCCAGGCAAAGAAAAAACTAAAAAGAAATTGAAATAACTCTAACCCTACTGACCAGCCTGTTTCCAACAAAACATTGTTTGGATGATTCTCAAGGTATTAATTTTATTTTTAGATGTCTTCAAAATCATCACCTCTTTCTTTATTAATCAGTTAATCTATTAATCTATACCATATATCCATTGGATTCTGTCTGTACTTCCAGTCCTGCAATTAAGACAGGGTTAGTCTGAGAACTCAATTCCTGTGTTGCTCAATCTGTCACAGAAACCTACTCCAGAACATCCAAGAAAGCTTGCACAGGAAAAGAAAGGGAAACAACCCTGTCCCTTCTTTCCACTTGCTGGAACATTATTATTACATTATTATTACAACATTATTATTACACTGAGCACTGTCTTTTCTGATCATTTTGTTGTGTATCTATGAACAAATTTTGGTAAAAAGCCATCTGCTGACCATAGTAGCTCCTCTCCCTCTCATTAACCTCTTGCCAACAAGCTTAAACATAATTGTAGGAGCAGACTAATTTCTGTATTGAAAATATGGGAAAATACATATTTAAATACATAATGAATGCAAATAAATACATAATTCAAAGTTTGCTTTTAATTTTGCTACCTGAGCCTTGCCAAGTGACGTTCCCTCCTCACTCTCCAGTATCTCTGTGCTCAGTCATCTACCACATCACCAGCTCACCCTTTGGGAGTTTTGCCTAACACTTCCCCAAGAAAACTGAAGTTGATCCATCTCCACTGCAGCAAAGAACCTGGATCTGTAACACTAATCTTGGCCAGAATGAGATGGGAAAGGAAAGGATAAAAGAGAAACTTCTGAGAGCCTCCCAACACTCATTGTGCATTTGCACCATTTTAACTGGGGCCACCTTGACAGAAAGAGTAAGGGGAAAGCAAAAAATCTTTAAAAGTAAAACAGAAAAATATTTTCCATTTCTAATGGAATTTTTCAATTTCAAACCTAAGCTTATTTTACTTACTGTCCATGGAAATCTTCTGTCTTTGCAGACATCTGGGATGTTGAGTGGCTCCATCGTGTTCTTGACATACTGAGCATACATGTAATTGATTTTGTTCGTGTCATAGTCCCTGAAGGATACAACATTATTATTATGTGCTTTGCATAAAAGTGAGTCATTTCATTATGCCAGGCAGGTAATATCTTTCCCATATGAGAGAAGGATATATAGATACAACCAATAGATAAATAACGGAGTCAGAGTTCAAATCCTGCATCCTAATCCAGCTGTCATCACGAAACTGCAGCATGGATGGGTGGATGCTTTCCACCATTTCTTTAATGTTCAAAAACATTAACACCGAACACCAGACTGAAGAAATAAACAATTCCCTACAGTTTACACAGATGAAAGATAAAGAATGAACAGCTGGGTTTATATGGAAATAAACGGAACTATTTGAAAACAAACTGCATTCACAAATCCGGTACTCCTGAAAAATCAATACTGGATGAAATTCACATATTAGTTCAAGAGACTGCAGCAGGTATCACTTGTGAATTTTCTGCTTCTAAGTTCATTTCAAATTTGTTCTAAAAGTAAAGGGACAATCAGTCACATGGAAGTTGTGTTACTGAAATAGAACTGTCTATTCCAAATCAGGACATAAAGTATCTGTACAGAATCAATCATCTCCACTTCTTTAGCCACCGTTTATTTAAGGTATTTTAATCCTCTTAGACCCTTTGCCTGCCTTGGAGGAGGACCTATGTCCTACTTATAAACCTATACCCATCAAGCTCCTGTAGTTTCTCTCCAACATTTGACTTGACTTCCCTTATCCTCCCGGTGTAAGGATGTTCCAGGGCCAGAGGAGAGGAATTACTCTTTCCTTATTTCACACATACAAGGCAATGCCCCACAATTCTGAAAAACAGTCTGATTTGGGGCTTGATTCAATGTCCTTGATTGCATAACGAGGCTGAAACTTTTATATTATGTAAAGTAATAGTTCCCATCTAATCCATGTCATTATATTTCTGCTCTTGCCTGAAATTGTGCCCTTCAAGCATAGCAGAAGTTGTAACTGCAAGGGTTGAATCACAGTGCAGTCATTGGCATATAATTGTGTTTTCTCATGAACAAGAGTCTGATATGGCAACTAAACCTCCAAGATTCCTCTTCCCTATCAGGTATGAGAAACAAGTTTGTGGTGGCCCATGCAAGCAGCAAATAACATTTTGAGTCCATTAATAACCAGTCACCATCAAAGGGATAATGAGGAGGAAGGGTCCATTCTTAGAAAGCAGAAGAGGACTAAAGAGGAATTTTCATTTTCACCTGTGATCAGACTGTTGTACCCCTGCACTTTCTGGCTGAACACTGTCTAAAACATGGCTCAACAGCTTTTAGTTGCTCAAGTCACACACTATGGACATCATTCTCATATATATGGAATTAAACTTGATGTAATAAATATTTACTGCAAAACAACATCAAAGGAGCTCAGAAAATCTGTTTTCTCCCTGCACAAAATATCTGTAGTAGAGCATTTTATAAGCAACTGTGTCTCTTTCTGACAGTATTTGGATCAACTGCGTTTGATGACAAAGACAGTAATTGCCAAACTTCAATACAGAGGTTCAGGCTAACTTTGGGAACTATTTTATCTGGGTATTTTAATTCAGCTCCTTATCTCTTTCTTTTCCTCTCAGTTGAACTCATTAGTGGTTTCCCAAAGATGAGTGGGAGTTAGAACTTTAGGGCTCTAATCTTGATTTAGTGGGACATGTTCCTTGAGTCATCTTCCTTATCTATGAGATGAGGATAGCGATTAAAATAATTGATTAAAAGCATTATTTTGGTTATTATCTACTAATTTGCATATGTCTCCTCTACACCATAGCTCTCCACACAGATTTCTTTGAAATCAGTTTCAGAGCAGCTCCTCTGTACATTTCCATAACTTAGCCTTGAAATCCAAATATGTTCTTAGACTGGCAAAGTGAAGAGATCAAGCCCTACTCTTGCTCTGCTCAGTGCGGTTTTTTAAGGCAAGAGAGGTGGTCAATAGCCACTTCAGGATGAACAAGTCATAATTAATTGGTTTACCTCTTCAGATTTTCAGATGAATCCTCTAATTCCTCAGATTCCATGTGAAAGACACTAGAAAATGTATCCTGTAATATCAAGAGGATGTTTGAATACACAGGTGTATAAGGTTGTCATTATTTAGAACAGTATTACTCATTAAAACCTTGTTGCAGGTTGTTATCAAGACCTGTTCTGTACTAAAGACAAGTGTAAGATTATTTAGCTTCATTCCACATCTGTCATCGAGCTGGATACTGGATCCTATCATAAAGGTATCTTTTGATACAACTTGAAGTATCACTGTAGTGTCTTGAATCTCTACTCATGACCCAGAGAAGAAATTCTGGTATTTACAAACCGTGCCAAAGTTATATGTCAGCACAGAAATGCTTTAATTCCACAAAGGCCAAAACCTCTCATGTTAACACCCAACCTGAGCAAATGCCACGAAAGAAAAGACAGAGAATGAAAAGACTACAGAACATATGAGAATGGAGGGAAGCTCACCCCACTCCCAGGGAATAAACAGTTCTGCCTTCAGACAAAATAAACATACTCACAGGACAGTCTTCATCCACTATGAAGATGGTACACCTCTGCACCTGCATGAAGGATATTATAGTGGCTGCTATCTTCTTCAGGATCACTTCCAAAGACTGCTGCTCTTCAAAAATCAGGCTGGCAAGGTCAAGAAGGACCTGAAGAAAAGGTCGTTTGTGAGGGTTTGACTAATTGATTTATGCAGTAATTATCGTTACTGGTGTCTTGAGTCTTCTCCTCTCCCCTGAATCAGGGAAGACAATGTTTATGTCTGTGACCAAAAGTAAGTTTTGGCTCTCACAGAATGCAAGGTAACAGTCAGTATTAGCCAATTTGACACTTTTTATGGAAGAACTAAATAGCATAATAAGCTGTCTGATTCAGTTTTCTGTCAGAGAAGCAGAATAGATTTAGGCATTAAAAGGTCAAATGAAACCTATGAAATCCAGACAACACAGTTACTTGTCCTTAGGAAACCCATTTTCCTATGGCTCAAGTGTGCATTCTCAAACCACCAAAGTGATATTTACACTTTTTAAGACTTCTGAACACAGTTATTCTTGGTTGTAATTCTAACAGATCCTAATTAACTCGTTTGGTGAAAACATTTAGTACAGTCTGCTGTATTTCAAAGCTGCTGTTGAAGTACTTAGGTGCTCAGATATGCTCATACTTTTTTTTTCCTCACAAGAAACATGAAGGCATTTTAATAAACTATCCAAATTTGTACCAATTTACAAACACTGGTAGTCAGTTGGAAACTCAGATCTACAGGAAAACTTTAAAACAACTGCTGTCTAGTCTTTCTCTGAAATATTATCACATCACACAGGGCAGGCATATTCACCCATAAAGGCCTTTGCATTAATAACCCATCAGTTACAAAGTTGGCAGCAAGCAGAGCTATGGCAATTTCAAGGAAATTCAGTTTTCCATTCGATCATTACTGAAAATACAGTTAGTGACTGTTACAGCAGTAATTGCCCAAAGGAACAGTCTGGATGCCCTCTGCTATTCCACAGGGATATTCCTGCCTGTAATTTCTGGAGTCTGACACTTCTGGTTTTTTAATACATCAAGTGAAGCACAGGATAACTTCAGGCAATATCAAGTGTATTAACATGGAATGAATTTTCTGACGTACAGCTTTACCTGCTTCCCCCTAGACAGGCCATTTCTCACAGCCCAGGCTGGAACGTGCCCAGCCTCTTCCTGGCACAGCTTGTGAGGAAAGCTTTATCAGAGACACACAGCATTCAGTCACAGGGATTAAAAGCAGCCAAGGAATAACTATCACATCAGAAAGAGGAAGAGGAGGCGCTGATAACTTGCAAACCCTCTTAATTTCTGTGTCCCTGGGACAAACCTGTTGGCCATACCTGATTGCGCCTGTTCTCGAGCAGAGACGTCTCGTACAGCTGAGCGTTGTGAAGAACAATCCCACAAAAGGCCAAATATGCTGCAAAATCCTGGAGACAAATGAACATCAACATCTCACAGAGAAAACATCCCACAGCATCCAAACTCTATTCGAAGATAAGCTACTGCAACGTTTTGTTTTCACTCTCAAGTATTAATTGATATTTTGTTATTTTTGGCAACCACATGTTCAGAGTCTGGGTTTTTTCCAGCTCCTTGTAATTTCTTATTTCCTCAAGAATCCCTTCTTTTTTTAAGCTAAACTCTGAAGAACATTATCTTGGTATGAGTAGGGTTCATCTGAAAAGCAGCTTAGAGGGAAAAATAATTGTGCAACAATGCATATTTTATCTAGAAAAACTGACCACAGCAACTTGCCTTTCTGAGGGAATTCAATCCCTTGGGAAGTGAAAATAAAAATTTGCTAACATAGCAAATGCAAAATTTTTTTCCTCATTCTGGATGGGATTCATTCTGACAGCCTGCAGATAAGCAGCGTGCATTTTGTTTTAAGGGGGAAATTCTCCAAGAGAAAGGGTGAATTCTGATTCTTTTATTTGTGATTGTCAACTTCAGCCTGAGCAGAGCCTGGCTTTTGCCCCACCTGTCTGAACATGAAATCTGGAAAGTTCTGAAAAGCAACTGCACTGGGATAATTAGGAATCAATTCTGGCTGCTCTCCTGATTCTCTTATATATATTTTTCATAATTTGTCTAAAGCTTTTTTTTTCCTGAAAATGCTATATATTGAAAAGTGACATGGTGTTGAAAAGAGAATCACGCCACAAATTTTAATATTCAATTTATGTTTGTTGGGCTTGCCAGGAGAGTTAGAACCAATTAATTAAAAACTATGTCCATTGAAAGTTATGAAAGGGTTTTACAATGCATTCCAGTAGAGTAAGCCTGTGCTTTAGAGATATATGACATGGTGATCCTGAAATGAAATTATTTCACATCCACATTTCTCATGGCCTCAAAGAAATAAAATTGCAATATTGCCAGTATGTTTACTTTCTCAGAGATGTTTAATTTTCAATAACTTGAAAATTTTTGAGCAGCAGGAAAATGAAAAACATATCTATCCCCCTTCCCCTATGAAAAGCAAAGAGACAAACATCCAGCTTTTTATACCTTTTCGTCTTGTTCAGTGAAAGTGCCGCCAATTCCGGATTTCTTGTTGATTGCTTGAGCCACACCAACAACCTGGGTATTCAAAATGGAGAAATGAGTTAATTTTTAGGAGTTTGGATTCCATTGCTAGGCATATTTATATAATTTAATATATAAATATATAATATAATATATAATTTATATAATATAATAAATTATCATTACAGGTATTCACTTGGTTGACTATGAAATCAAATGGTTAATATAATAAATGTCTGTCTCATGCATAAGCATTTCCTAGATTACAGGATTTGAAGACTTTAGCCTTTCCCTAATATAATTCTGTATTTCCATTCCTTTTGAGACAAAGTATTATTAATCTGACAAAGTATAATGCAAAGCTTTTAGATATTTTCAGATTTTTTTAGCATTATTACAAAAACTGATAGAAAAAGCTGCAAAGAGCTTCTTTTGTTTGAAGTGTACTTAGTGTAAAACCAATGCAAAAGGCTAATGGTGGTTTTTTTTCATCTGGTTTTTTTAGGAAAAACATTATCAGAGGAAAACTCTGTGGTGAGCATGTTTAAAGAGGTGTATTTAACCATTCATGGTCAAGTTGTAACTGCTAAACTGATGGAAGACATGTGGTTTTATTTTTTTAATGGAGAAGAAGGCGATTTATTGTCTCTCAGCCCAGCATTCCCAAAGTACTGATGTTTTAAGTAAGGCCGTTGTTCTTTGACATGAATCGCTGCCAACTGGTGGCTCAAAAATGTCTGAAATAAAGCTCAACTGTCAGCTCCATTCCATACAACCCCATTTTTCCCACAGTCAACCTCTTACTTACTTCAATGAGGAGTATTTCTCATCCAGTGGACTTCTTTCTGTAATAACAATGTACCACCAAGCCTATATGCTTCTCTGGCAGACTTTGAATGAAAGCAAATCCCTTAACCAGTTAATATGCTTTTATGTTAACCTACATGTGCAGAGGTTGATGTTTAGACCTCTTCTCATGCCACTGTCCTCCCTGGGTGCTGATTTAATTATTTTTTTTTCCAGTTTTGATCCAGCATGAGCTAAGACAACTTTAATGAGGCCAGAGGCTTTTCACCCAAAAGGTGAGTGCTTTCATGTTGCTTGTTTATATACATCCTCTCCATGAAAGGAAAGTCTGCAGTGCTTAAAAAAAAGCTATAAGAAAACAGTAAAAGGACCATATGAATACAGGGAAAAAAAAAGACTATTTAGGCTCCTTTCATCAGCACTCCAGGCCTCAGATACATGAACAAAGGCAGGTGTTCCAAGAGCAATGGTCAGTTTTAGATGTCTGGTAAGGTCTTTCAGTAAAGGATTTTAACTGAAGGGGAAAGAAATAATGAGGAGAATAAACCTGCAAAAATTTCATGTTAAGTTGATTAGGATAAAAATTTTGTGCAAATGCAAACCTTCCTCTTTTTAGTTGCTGTTTCAGTGGCATTCTAAGCTTCCAGACAACTTTATGTTGTGCCCATTTCTTTTTCATACAAAACGAACAGTTTTAAAATTAAACTGGTCCAAATTCTGGCTTCATTTTTATCAGCTTAAATTTCAGTGAACTTCTCAGAATTCCATAGAATATGGTGCAGACAGGAATGAGAAAAACTTCAGACAGGCATTTTTTTAGCTATTGGAATCTTGCCTGCCACCAGGTAATTAGGAGAAGATGTAAGAAACCTGAGAGGATCTGCTCCTGTTACTAAAGTAATTATGTAATTAGGACAAAAGTCAATCATGTGGTAGCATTTGGGGCCATGGAGAACATATGCCTGCATTTTAGAGAATACTAAGCAAAGTATGAAACCCAAATCCTCATTTTTAAAATTTATTCTAAACAAATCACAAATAGCAATAGGCCAAGTCTGTGATTTCCAGCTGGGAGTTATGTTTGCACCAGCAGAAAAACTGAATCAAAAGCCCAACTGCTCTGGGCTCAGCTACACAGGGAGCTAAAAAAGCTCAAGATATTACTCTGGACTGAAGAAAACCAAGGCTGAGGGAAAGACTGAAGTAATTGGGATCCGCTTATGCTTTGACACCTGTGATTTTACTTCTAACCACTGAAGTAAGCAGTGTACTGTGGAGCGCTACAAGCTCCTTTTCCTGAGCTTTCCTCCAATTTGGACTAGGCAGGTGGGGTTCTAGAACACAGTATTATCTAGAGGAATCCTGCTGTTCCCAACAAGAGCCTTTTCCCGGGTTTGCTCTATTCAAAGAGCCCAAGGGGTGAGCAGAAGGAAATTCCCCTTGGATCAGAACCCAAGTACTTTGCTATTTTCCATTCAGATCATATAATCCACACATAGACCATAGAAACAAAAAGCTATTTTCATGATGGAATTTTCCCCTTACTTTCAGTCCCAAGGAAGGACAAACCTTCCATCAGTTGCTGATTCAATACACACATGTGTTTCACCACATCTGAACACAGCTTTCCTGACTGCATTCTTCCTGGTAACACAGGTGATCTTCCAATGCTCCACTTGTTCTCTAACCTTTCTTTTCTAGCTGTGCTACTTTTCTAATTTAATAAATCCTGATCCACATTACAAGGAGAGATTTCTTCTAATTATCAGAGAACTTAATTTCTACTGTTTTCTTGCAATAGCTGAGTCCTGCCTCTAAAAGTAGCAGGCTACCTTGAGTACCCAGTAGGTGACAACTGATAGACTTCATTGCTGATGACTCTGCTCTGAAATTTATATGGATGGTTTCCTGCTGCAATTTTTTGCACATTAAAATTACAGGCCTAACTCTGTGAAAGCTGTTCCAGCTCTGCAGGCAGCTGGTGCCTTTTTCAGTAGGGTCTTACTTCAGCTGACTTCTGATGTAATTAATTTTGCTTCTTAAGGAGATAGCTTTTTTATTTACTTTGCTGGCACCTGAAGGAAAATTGCATTAAAGCCAAAGAATGGTAACAGAAAATGGGAAAATGGACATTTTTGATAAGAGAACATACCCACATCGGAAGACAAAGTGGTATTGACCTTACTTTGCTCTCCTGGTCTTGTGTAGAGGTTGGGTTCAAGCTTATAAAATTATACTGCAGTGACAGAACTGTATTTACAGACTTTAATTTTGTATCAACAGAAATTTCACATCCCTTTCTATCATTCATGCCAACAGTAGCCTCCACGCTTTGCAGCAGTCTATCTACTATACTGTGTCTCAGCGTAAGCTGAAAATCCATCCAAAAAGCAAATTACTGTCCTCCATAATCCTGCAGCAAGACTGCTGCCGGAACTGAGTTTATTTAAAGTCAGCTTGGCCAGACTGCTCTGTCCTGCAGTGATTGGGATGTGTGATATCTGAAGGGTTTACTGGGGGAGAAAATAACTACAGGTGACATGCCCAGTCCCATTTTACACGATAAAATTCAACAGAGGATTTTCAAAGGCTGTTATAAGTAGTAGCACGCCTGATTTGTTGGGAGGAGCCTCCCAGTGACAGGAGATTGGGCCCAGTAAACAACAAACCAAACAACTGAGTGAGCATTGCCAGAAAAAAAACCAAAACAACATTTCCCTAGCTGATTACTAGGAAATTCCATCTTCCATGCTCACAGCTTGGGAGAAATGTCTCAGTTAATTCAGCTAAAAGCTCCATATGAGAAAATCCTACGGATTTTAGTAGAAATTAAACTGAGATTGACTTTTATGAAAATTACTATGCCCAGCTCAAAGAAAAAATAAATAGCAGCAATAACAGAAAAAATTGTGTCACTCCTGGAGATGATGTATGGTAGCTTTGGTGGCTCTGTGCTTCAGAGACCATCCATTCTCCAGGTATTCCAAACCTGCTGGAGAGCTGTTCTCAGTCTTTTATCAGCTCTGGAGAACTCCACAAGCTGGTTTAAGCTGAGGAATGGAGTAAGGATGTTTATTCCCTATCCAGTCCCGTCAAAGTGACTGTTTATTTATAAGTGTCTACAAAACCATGCCAAAGGTAAAGTTGTCTTACTGCACTGCACTGAGTCTCATTGTTACTAATTCCTGGGTCCTTTCCATGAGCTCTTTTGTGAATCAAATCGTTTTCATTTATGGAATTTCTTACTAGCTGTTATTTTTAAATGAGACTCTGGTTTCTCACACACCCGATGGAAATATAGGCAAATGTGAAAAACATCTACTGGAAAAATATCTGTACTTCAGCAGGCCCAGAGGATTTAGTAATCAGCATGAGATTTTCTTCCTCTCAATTACTGACTCTTTTGTTTTAAAAAAAATACCACTAATACTAAACAAACAAACAGAAAGCCCCAGTTGCTCCTCTTTCTCAGTGTTTATTTTTGGATGCCTTCCAGAATCATCTTTTGACTGCAATTGCTGACATCCTGGGCTAAGGCAGCATTCACAAGCATCAATATTTCTAGAGGGGCTTTGGGGATTTTTAAAAGGTCTCTTTTTGTTTTAACAGGGAGGAGCCAGTATTCTGGTTTGGTTGTTTGGGGGATTTTTAAACAGAAAAAGAAGCAGAATGGAAAATTAAGGACTGACTCACTGACTCCAACATCTCTCCAAGAAACATGTCAGTCATTTGTTACAGAAAGGATGAGAGAAACCTTCTGGTAGAGAATGTAAAACTCTGAAAAAAAATTAGGAACTGCCATCCTTTCCTGTAAGAAATCTTACAGTTTGACACCTTCAAATTATTGCCTATGAGTGTAACACTCCTCAAACTTCAGGTTGGCTGCACTTGTCAAAATAAATTCCTGCTTCATTTCCACTTGCTGATGCACTCAGGAGGAGGAAGCTGGCTGAAGACACGGCCCATTGCAGGTTTATTCAGCCCTTTAGTCATGGTGGACTGGACAAACAGACTGCAGCTCTTATTCCTTCTTTACCCACCACCAGCACCTGGTGAGAAGTGAGCACTTTCATACTTCCCAGCCAGCAGGGCTTTGTAGCTCATTTCTGTCCCCATAGCATCTTTTTCCATTTGACAAAATGAAAATGGCATGGCTTGGGTGAAACTGGAAGCCTTACATCAGCCTGACATGGACCACTGATCCCTGACAGTTCTTCACACGGCATCTGCTTCGCTCATCTGCTGGCCCAGGGCCAGCAGTGGCTGCTGCCAGGTGGAAAGAGGAAGACTTTTAAGAAGGAGTGGGAGTAGGAAGGGATCAAGTGCTATCCTTGGAAGAATAGAACAAAATAATTTAAGCTGAAATTTGCAGTACATGAAGAAAGGAAATACTGGCTGATCATCTGGGTCAGCTATAACAAGAGTCAATAAACAAGTTAATGCAGGAGTTTAATTAATTTAATTAAAAAAAAAAAGATTCAGTACAGTAGAAGTCAAGATGACACTCTACAAGAGGAGTGAAAGATGGAAGAGCAGAAAAAAGAAGGTATGATGTCTTCAAATCAATCTTGGCAACATTTCTTTTTGGGAGCTTGAGCTTTCTGGAAGCAAACTATAAATGCTCTGAAAAATAAATGAATTCCAGGAGAACAAAATCTCCATTTCAAAGCTCTAACACACTGTGTGGAGAGCCTTACCTTTTATGAGTATTCTAAAACTGGTGATGTGGCTGAAGGCCACTACAGTCAGGATCAAAGAAAACCCAACCATACTTTCCTTACTCCCTAAATCAAAGAGTTCATCTCATCTTTTCCCCATTCATCGGATTGCATGGACTTCACTGAATTCACTCCTCAAATACTCAGGGCAAGAAGGTGTTGTTAGCTCATAATAATAATTCTCCCTACTGCAATAGCATGAGACAGGATGAGAGAGCTCCCATGAGAAACAGCATGAACAGGAAATATGGACAAGAGTTCAGTGAGCAGATTCACACTGTTTCAAATTAGGAGTGATTTAAGTTATGACTCGAGGATGACTTTTCTGAGTCACATTGACACTGTGTGTTTTCAGTGCCTGGCACTTAGCTCATAAGTAATAAATTAGGAACCATGTTGAGTTAAGGGAGTGTAAAAATAATCAGGTTTTTAGACAATGATAAAACCCAGTTTGTGCCCTCTGAATGAAGCAATATAGATACAAGCTAAGCTGAAGTACAGTAACTTAATCACAATTTGAGATAGACTAGTAAGTGTGCAGAGAACTTTCATGCTGACAGATACTGAGTACAGGAAGCAGGAACAGCGCTTCTGGAGTTAAATACATATATTCTACTGCTACATTTGGGATTAAACTCTTCCTGACAGTTCCCTTTGGCTTACATTACCCAACTAGATAAGATAAAATTACAGTCTAAACAAACATAAACAGTCCTGCTAAAAAAAAAAAAAGAGATGGTTGGTAGATGATGACTGCCAGCTAATGAAATTTTAAAGCATACACGTGACTGGAAAGTGAAGCGATCCCAAGATTGGAGCTTACCTCTTCCCTGTGATTCTTTATTGGCATACAGAGAATGCTCTGAGTCTTATACCCTGTGATCTGGTCAACTTCTGCATTGAATCTTGGATCCTGATACAATAAAAAAAATGCAATCAGTTCTTTTTCTTCCTTGGTTTATGGACTTGAAAAAAGTTTAATATTTTGACTGTTACCCAAGATAAGGTTTCATTACCTGCCAGTAATTATATAAAGTTTTTACTACCAGTGTGTTAACAACAAAAAAGCATTTGTGTGGAACATGAGTGCCAATAGATTAAGACCACTGCTATAAAAACCAAAAAACCCAAACCCTAGGAGAAGCTTTTTTTTTTGAGCCTAGACCATCATTGTAATAAATATGCTCATGGATTAACCACACCTAGTTTACCTTTTATCATCAAGAAGAAATTACAGAAATAAACTAAAAGATCTGCACCCACAGAGGAACACAGTTTCATAAAAGTGGTTAGTGGTTTTGTTTTCATCAGAGATTGCTCATTTCATATATTCACCTCAGTACTGAATTCTGAGTAATCACCTCAATAGAACTCTGATTTTTTCAGCCCTAGCTTCACATTTCTGTATGCACTTGTATCTACAATACATGCATTACAACCAAAACCACGGTGTCGAGTTTGCATCTTGACCGCTTTAAGTCAATACAGCACCAAATACAGGCACTAAAATGGCAACATTCCAGCACGTGGTGGTTTCTTTTTCAAGAATTGCTGAAGATAAATTTCCTTGGCTTACCTCATAGGCATTCTTGATGTTGAGAGGCTGCCCTATGGCTGCCACGTGACCCACAATGCCCTTGTTCCACTCCAGGCGAATGCAGTTGTTGGAAGCTTCTTCCAGGGTGGATCCTTCTGCCACGTCAAACAGCCTGCTCACGAGAAACTTCTCGTTGGAACTGTCCTCACACACCAGGAACAGGGAATAGCGATCAGCTGCGATCAGCTCATGGATGTGTAGGAAGATCTTATGGCAAAGCGCTGTGACATCCAAGTGACTAGAAATATCTTTCACAAGTTCTAATAGTCTCGAGCACTGATCCCCTGCACTGGTCTCAATCCTTGGAGATTGCAGAGGCATCTGTTCCTTCTTGTCAGAGCCAGAGAGGAAGCTCACTGCTCCTACCGAGTCCTTGACAAAAATAGGCCTTAAGGGCCTGTCAAATTCAGAAGCGGAGATTTTCCTCGCCGGTGTCCCAGAGTTGGTGGTCTCGGCACAGGCAGGCTGGTGACAGGCACAGGCTTCGCTCTGGGACTTGGTTCCCTCCTTGCAGACTGGGATGGTGTGAACTCTCTCAGCAAACCATGCATTAACCATTTCTCTATAAAACAAAACCAAAAATACAGGGAATGAGGTGAATTGAAAATCCTCTAGCTGACACTGTGAAAGGATAACTAAACCTTTTCAAACAGAGGACACTGATGCACCTTTAGACTCCTCTGTATCAATGTTCTCCAATTTTATGCAGCACTTAGCCCACATTAAGCAGTAACATTTTTTGCCCCATGCAAAAAACCCAACAAACTATTTTTGCCTAGAGGAAATACCTGAATAGGGCAGAGGAGGACCACTTATGCTGTGGCTTTCAGAGTACAGATCAGAAATTTACACCACCATTTTTTGACTGAAAAGTTCCAGTCCTTTCTACTCCTAAGATTTGGATTTCTATATAAGACATATATAGATATATTAATTTGAAGACAAAATTTTCTGTTTCTAACCTCTAAAAAGATAAATTCTCTGTCAATCACCTACAGCCCCTCCTATTTTTCTGTTGCCAATATACTATTTTTGAGTTAACTTCCCCTACCCCTCCAAGTTAATAAAAAACGCTGGTTGGACTCAAAGTATAAAAATTTTACTTAAAAACCATTAAATAAACATGCATGTTACTAATTCAACCCCCTTCAAAATAAGAACAGACTGTTTTCATGCATCTCTCCTATTTCCTTTCCTTGTGGATGACACTCATTGTCTAACTCAAACCTAAAACTGTATTTTTAAGAGCTCATCACTAATCAAAAAATGGCATTCATCTCTAGTATTCAACTGTGCTTCTCAAATTAACTTTGCATTAGGAAGCCAATCCTAATAATGTCCTCACTAAATACAGCACATCGTTACGACATAAGCACACTTTTTTTATCACTATAATATTTTCTTGTCCAAAATCGGAGGGGTTTTTGTTTCAGTTTCTTTTTGTCTTTTGCTTGGTTGGGTTTTTTTTAAGTAAAGGACTTTTTATTTCATTTGTTCAGTGTTGAGGATTCCTCACAGCACATGCCCTTCCTCTCAGAAAAAATGGATTTTTGCTGTGTTACATAACATAACGAGCCTAGGAACAGCAAAAATCGTATTAACAAGTCTGATCTTTTGGAAACCTTTCATGGTGGTCATGTTTTAAATTTGGGATATTTTTTATTTGCTCAGCAGACCACAGGAATTCTGAGAGTGAAGCTGAATGAAGCCATGGAACTGAGTCAGGTTAGTCAGCTGCTGATCAGTTACACGCATCGGTGTACGTTACACATGAAAAGCACTGTACAACAGTCTTATTTTCCTTACAGCACACCTTGATCTTTGCTGTAGGATGCAAGCACAATTAACCCTTAATTCAAAGCAAAGTGATCAATTAAAACCTAAAGTCCAACAGTCCAACAATGCTATTTGTAACAGCAAGCCACAAAAGCAAAGTAATTTGACTTCTTTTAGGAAGGCTTGAAAGAGATTTTTTGATCACATATCATTTAGAGACCTCAACAGCAGGCAAACATGCTATAAAAAAAATGAATTATTAGAAACCAATGATCCTCCTTTATTAAAGCAGTGATACCTATTTTTTGTGCAGTAACCTCATCCAAGTGTTTCTTGAAGTGAAGCAAAGAACAACGAACATATTATTAGAAATTTGACTTTAAAAGTATTACTTTCAAGTACTTAAACAGGATAAACATTAAATGGGGGAGGTATGACCATTTATTACTGCAATGAATAATATGATTTGCATAGGACAGTGTCACATTTGCAAAAGCTGTTTCACTGAGAGTCAAAATAAGAAGCTAGCATTTGGTAACACTTGGAATTTTCATTTAATAGACTGAATGAGAAAGAATAAAAATTTTCAATGACCAAAAATATCCTTAAGAAAATTAAAAAGCTAAAGGTACAAAAATCTTTATGTAAATATAGTACAACCTCTAAAATCGATGCTGCTAACTCTTTTTAGCAAATGTGTTATATGGGGGTCCTTTTTATTTTACTCTGATCTCTTCATAATAAAAAATCACCAGGAAATTTTAGCTTCTCCATAACAAAACTATCATCTAGCACTAAGGCTACAGAAGAACCTGCAAATGCCAGCTGGAGGCATTTAAGCCTCAGACACAAGAAGGTAGGTATAGAAAAACTGATAGTTTTAAAGAAGATTGGTGATTTGACCCAGATTCACGTGTCTGCTGACTGTTTCTGAGCACTGAGGACTGGTATTAATGGAAGGTAAGACTGAAAAGTAGCAGTAATAACATAGTACCAGATGGAGGGTGTTCTCCAACAACTGATGAGGCTCAAAAACCATGTAATTGAAAATGCACATGTTTGAAGGCATGTTTGGAAGTGAACCTGTGCTTTTGTTGGGTGACAGCAATTTGCAGAACAATCTGATTCACTGCTTAATTAATCCTGAGGAAAGGAGTAAATATAAAAATCTATCATTCTCCTTATTTACACTGAATTTACATGCGTGGATGTGTTGGTACAAGATACAAGGCAGACAAAGAATCTGAAATTACCCTTCATGCATAAAGAAAAAGCTACAGCAGAAATTTGATTTATCAGTAGAAACCTGTCATTTTATTTATTCTGCTGCGTCGTGTTATGATTTCCCCAGGCCTTAATGGTGTAGCAATAGCAATCAGTAAGAACAATGTCCTCTGAATGCTAATACCTGTTCTCAAGCTGTGGCCATGAGATTACTAATTTTTTTTACCCTCTTGCCTTTTTACTGTGTAAAAGAAGCATGCTTTTCTTATAGAGGTTATTGAGGGATGTGGAACACAGCTGTAAAACCTTTCACATGAAAAGGAATTATGTTTAACAAGAACTGACTACTTGTTGGGTATCTATGCTGCTTATAAAGCACTTAAACATTGAACAGAATGATAGGTGGAGCTGCATAATTATGAGTAACATATTCCTGTCCTTTAATTTCTCTTGGGTGATGGTTCAATAATTTGCCAACAGTGCATGGTTCTCAGAAAACTCTTTAGATTAACAACAACTAATCCTTAACTAAATTGGGTAAAGCATGGTTTTCAAATTCAAGCCTTTTAAGCATTTTACTTTGGGCAACAGGAAAGCCATTCAAATTCAACTGGAAAAAGAACAGTGTTCAGTGACCTTTACGAAATGCCTCTTCTAACAAGGAAACTATTTAGCTCCTTTTACTCGCCCAGTTACACACACGGGTGGAAGAACCAGCATTTCGCATGAGCTGACGTATTCTAACGCTATTTAAAATCTCTCTGTGTCTTGACATGCGTTCTCTTGTTGACACTCAGTCCTATTTAACAATGCATGACAAGAAGGGTATTATGACTAACACAAGTACTCTCAGAGCACAGAATTAGCTCAGCAGTTATCTGACACCAGACACATCCTGAGCCACGAGTGAAGCTCCTGGAAATCAGCAACGAGTGCCATGTACAATTAAGAAGTAATTTTGAAAGGCCTGCAGGAAGAAGCCAACACTTGTGACTATTCATATGAACAGACTTCAGTTAGCATTGGAATTGTCAAGAGCTGATTGTAAGGACAAGACCCTGGCTGTAGTATCGAAGTTGCAGGAGCAGATACTGATCCATAGTGATCCATGCAGACAAACTCAATGCGGTGTCTCTATCCCACCACGGCAATCACCATGAGTTGAGGAGTTACAGCACCCAATATTCCTCATGACCAGGATGCATCTTTGCTGCACTATGATCCTTTAATACGAACCTTCACTCAAGAAATATGTAATTTATCCCAGAGCTCACGAACAGCAACAGTAGAATATGAAGTTACTATTTTTTAGTCACTCCCATCAGCCAAATCCAATCTTTCCTCTATAAAACATGACAGTAGTGACTGCTGAATTTGGCTGGTGACTTCATCAGCAGATGACAAAACTGGAAAGGAATTTTGAGATGATAGTGCTAAGAAGGGGATAAAAATGCAATGGCAGGCAAAACATTGAAGAAAAAAAAAAAGAGAAAATATGGTGTGATCCTCCCCTCTATCGCTGCTTATATACAAGCACACGTAATCTGCAGTACCAGAGACCTTGTGAGCTTCAGAGGAATTAAAACCCTTTGGCCCCGATTTGTTAAATACTGCACAGAAAGTAGACCTGCCCCCAGAGCAAGAAGTTTTTGGTATAAATTTGCAATAAAAATAGAAAATCGATGTTTGAGAAAACACAGGGACAAGGAAGCAACATGCCTTGAGCCAGGTCATGCAGGAGGGCACATGTAGAGCTGAAGAGACTCTTCCTGTATTTCCTGGGCTATGTGCATCAAACCATACTGACACAACACTAATTGCTATGCTACTCATATACTGGGAATATTAAATAATGTATTGTACCCATCTTTGCTTCATTGTGATTATCTTCAAAGCACACAACAGACTTCTCAAAAAAAAAAACAAACACAAAACCCAACCCAGTGAAGATGTTTAAGTATTAAAAGACAGGTTGTGATTGTCTTGCTTACATACAGCCACACAGCCTGTGTAAGAACACACCAAGGGGATCATTGAGCACAACTGCTTGGCACCTTTGGAGAAAATGTACAAAAACCAGAATGCAAAGGTAACACTGAGATGCAACAATGACAGTAAAAACTGCACGTTACTTGCCTGACACAAAGAATGTGTAACACCTGCAGTTCTGTAAAACAGAACACAGTGATAAGCAGTTTTCAGTGAAACAGCAAATAATTCCCTGTTTTCTCTGTTGCTCACAAAACGTTCATAAATACAATGTGTAAGGTTTTAGTAGTTGCGTGGACTGTTCTGCTAATTTTTCATTCCAGCCAGCAGTTATTGGTAACACACTTCAGGAGAGGGATTACAAACTTGCCTACTAGAAAATGCCAGCTTTCAGTGTCTGAATTCCTGTAGCCTAATCCTGTCGATGTTGAAACCAACAATATTTCAAGCTAAACTTTGGAACTGTTTTCTCAATTCCCTTCCATAAAATAACCACTAGATGTCTTCAAATTTCTCTCCAGCATCTTGACATAATTTAGACACAAAAATCATTTAAAGCATTAGCAAAAACTC